ACTTCGTCGACTGCAGAGCTAACATAACTCTAATAAATCATATTTTCATGATTATTTCTTGCTTGGTATTCACATTTGGTGAACTCCATGGCCCAGCAACGGTGTTAATTACTCTAATTGTATCATTACTGGACCAATATGAAGTCACACAGAATCATAAGACAAACAGACATTTCTAGAAATGAGTGAGTTTGTAAAAGAACTGATTAGCATTCATCTAGTACTAATCATTGTGTTCATGTACATTTGCATTCAGCCTGCATTATGTATGTGTTGTTTTTTGAATATAGCAATAATCTTACTTATATTACGCAATCATATTTTGTGCATACATATCATTTAGTGATGCTACAGCTTAAGATAAGTTAGATGCATACAACTCTTACAGAATAAGATTTTTATTGTGTATCACTGAACTCATATACGAGTTGCATATATTTTTATAAGTTCATTGTGGATTTAATCAGATGCACATTGCATGACGGTTGTGCCTTAAAAAAATATGCAAGTCAGGCAGCAGGGGAGCCATAGCATGGCATAGCTATTCAGATATAAATAATTTATGACAATGCCTCATACCTCTCATTGCATCATATTTAATTGCACACACATTTTAAATTTAATTAAAATTCCATTAATTTAATCAATTAGAGTTAAGAAGTAATATTAAATGGTGGTAATTAAACTTCATTTAAAACATTTCTCAGACTATTAACACACTACAAGCAATAAGATTAAATCTATTAAATAAATAAATTTTCAATTCTAAATATTTTTTAAATCACTGGAACTGCAAACACATGTTACATACAAGTGAATGCTAGGGATTAAAAATAACAGACATTCTGGCTTGGATTACAGTTAACGTGATTACACAATGAACCTCCATGATATCTGCCTGTTGTGTATGAATTACATATGCAAGGAAACTCTTGCCAACTCTTGGCCTCAGGCCTCAATAAACATTGATCAAAATGAAAAATATTGGTTAACAATAAATGTAAATAATAATAAATATATTTAAAGGTTTATAGTTTTTACATAACCCAATTCATATTTTGATTTATCAAATGTATCATGTCAATACATTATGTGTTAACACCATTTGCTTGATTAGAAACCCAGACTGTAAAATGTGTCTTTTTAGCTACCATGTTATTTTAGCTAATTTAGCTAATCTGTAATTTTGCTAATTTAAGATGGAGCTAATTTCAAATAAAGTATATTCTCAAAATGAGATCAAATTGCATAAATTGCATGTAGCTATTTTACAGTTATCAATGTTACTCTTCCTCATTCTATTTTCTCACCATAATCTTTTTGTATGCTTTTCAATTACTTGATTCTTGAGTAGGAATTATTTTTGATGAGAAATTTTTATGTATTTTTTGACAATTGCTTTGTTAATTTTTGGATTAAATGAGTATAATTTCTCACTGGAAAACATTATACATGTATGTGTTTAATTTGTGGAAAGTAACAAAAATTGACTTTGGCTTTCAAACATTTAACGGTTTCAAGTAGTCAATAGCAGGGAGAAAAAGATGAAACCTGATCCATTCATGAGCTGTGAAATCTTTCAAGATAAGCGTTAATGAGAGTAGTTTGTGCCATTATCAGCTAACACATATGTTCATTTCTGTAAGCGCTTCTGATTTGACCCTAAATGTCATCAACATCAGCAAATGTTCTCCTATCAAATGATTTATAACCAATTATAATTATCTTTCAACTATTCTATTCTATTCTATGAAATTCTATTACACAGATATTGATATTTTATTGATTTATGTGTTGTACAATGTTATGTAAATTTTTGCTGGGACAAGTAAAGGAGCTCAAACGAATGAATACGTGCATAAATAAAGAAATAAAGAAATAAATAAAATAATGAATTAATAGAAATAATAAAAAACTGAAAAAATATTAATTGAACCAAAATTTATTTTCATAGCTAAGAAATTCTGTGATTGGAAAGATATCCAAGATATACTTGAGTTACAATAAAACTGGCACTGGATGCTTGTCAAAGAAAAATTTGTAATGCTACAAAAATGTTATGTTTTTTCCTGATCAACAAAAATGAAATTAATAGCTGTTGGTTGGTATTCTTATGTACAATAAGTAATCTACTTTCAGAGTCTGTTGACAAAATTTCTCCCAGATACCAGATTTTAATAATAGTCACTAAAGTGATAAACTGTTAATAACAAAAACACAAAGTTTATAGCTTGTCCAGGCAGGACTATTTCAGTAATTCTAATTCATACACATATGTATACTGGTAAATGTATAGACATCCAAAATATTTTAAACAAATTCCACTGATTGCAAAACAACTCAGCACGGAAAACAAAAATCTACCCATCATGCAGAGAGGAAAATTTCAACAACAAAGCTGTGGTTGATATCTTTCAAAATGGGCAGAATATTTATAAATTTTATATAATAAATAAACAAAATCATTCAGATAGGTATTGTGTTTAATATAGAAACAAAACAATTAAGTAGTGAAAACAAATAATATCATATTTGCCTATTTTTTTAACTGTACCTGCACGGAATTATTTTTTCAAAATATGAATTTATGTCTATTCAGTCTAAAATTAAAGAGAAATCATAGGTAGAAAAAAAAATGTGCATTTTTATGGAGAAAAAAAGATGACACCAAAAAACATGACACAATTAAACACACATACAAATCTTAGTTCAAAGTGCAAAAATCACAGAAAAATAAGGTTGACTGCAATGAAGAACAAACCTGAAAATAAAATTACACATTAGAATTGAACAGCCTTGTTGAAATGAATTCCACTATAAATCACTCCAATCTACAAGTATAGCTCTTAAAAACGTTGGCCACATATCACCAGGCAAGGAAGAATAGTTTTCCAAGAATCAAAACAAAGCAGCATGAATATTAATAGGAAATCAAATAATGCATAAAAGTGTTTCTTAAATATGTCAAATCATTAAATTAAAATAAACAAATATCGGCCCTTTATTTAAAAAAATGTTATCTTCATTGTCAGAATCAATTTTCACTTAATACACTGACAGCCAATCACAAAATTGAAACACATTGAGTTTGTAA